TGCTCCTCTCCTTTTACAGAATATAGGCAAACTATAGAAGACCCCCACATGGCATAGACTCCAAAAAACACACACTATGTTTTGCCCTGAGGATCAACATGTGTAGGCCCATGCGCAGAATGGAGCTTGAACACTTGAAAGTAGGGCGGGGAAGGAATTCCACTATGCACAATTCCACCCCTTTGTGCAGTTAAGTGAATAGGAAGTTTGTGTATTTATTTTGTTCAATTTCGAGGTTGCCAAACTCTTTAATGCAGTGTTTCTCAACCTTGGCGACTTGAAGATGGGTGGACTTCAACTCCCAGAATTCCCCAGCCAGCCATCTGGGAGTTGAAGTCCACCCATCCTCAAGTCGCCAGGGATGAGAAACACTGCCTTAATGACTCTGGGCAGCTGACAATTAAGAGAAAACAGCATATATCAAACAAGAACATAGCTGACCAAAAGACCAACTCCATAAAACCCAAACCCCAAAGGGCTTGACCACCATCCTATCCCAAGGCCTGGGAGGACAACCACATTCTTAGTAGTTTGCAGAAAGTCAATCAGGTGAGAGCAGTCCAGATCTCTAGGGGGACAGGTCGATCTAGAGAGTAGGGGCCACCACCAAGAAGACCCACTTCCTGGGTGCCGCAAGATGACAGTGTTGAATTTGTTAACTCAGTTGATTAATCCGTTGCACCACAAGGCTGTCCAAGTAGAAGATGAATGGTGGCAATCCTACGTGTAAAGAGGGGGTGAGGCTTCAACATGTAATCACAACCATGTTGACTTTTTTGATCCTGACCGTGGACGTTTCCCCCCACCCCCTGCTGGGGGCCATTTTGGTCCCCAGTATCTCAGAGTTAAATAATCTCATGAAATAATACCCAGATAAGAACAAAAAATGCTCTGTAGCAAGTTTGAAGGCAGTAAATAGTACTTTTACTTGAAGGGACTACTTTTGCCATGCGTTAACATCTACTTTGAATTGCCTGTGACCCCGCTCTTGTATATTCAAAATAAAAATATTCATTATACACTCACAGAGCTGCTCAATCCACCTTTCAAACACTTTGAGAGAGACAAATAGCTATTGGCAAGGGGTCCTGAGAAAGAGAGAGAGAGAGAGAAAACCCCGCTCTTGTATATTCAAAATAAAAATATTCATTATACACTCACAGAGCTGCTCAATCCACCTTTCAAACACTTTGAGAGAGACAAATAGCTATTGGCAAGGGGTCCTGAGAAAGAGAGAGAGAGAGAGAAAAGAGGGGAAAAAAACCCTCTTTCTTTCTCTTCAGGTAGAGGTGTGTGTATGTGAGTGCGTGCGTGCGTGCGTGTTACATTTGTGCTGGATTTACACGACTGCAAATCCAAGTAAATGAAATAGCTTGGCATTCCCACCCACATTTTAAAAATAGAAAGGTGCATTAAGTGCCAAGAATATGCCATTTAAGAAAAGTACTTCTTTTTCACAGCTACATGAAGGCTTTCAAATAACTTGTGTTTTTCTTGTGTGTAAGGGAAAGGTTGGAAAGCACAGGGTTCTGGAGATGGAAGACCTGATAGTCAAGCAGGTTTCATGCCTGTCCTTGCAGAATGACTGTCTGCCTTCTTCCTGGCTTAAGTTCTAATTTGCCATGAACATAAAAAAAACAGAGCTTCAAACTTGTGACTGCCATCTTGACTTTTTTGACCGCGCCCTGCAGGCACCCTTGGGCAGAAATGCGTTTCTTGAAAATACTTGATAATATAAAGCCAGTCTGTGGATTTTGTCAAGGTGATGTCCTCTCCCCAACCTCTTTTGACTCTCTTTTTTTAGAGCAGTGTTTCTCAACCTTGGTCACTTGAAGATGGGTGGACTTCAACATCCCAGAATTCCCT